TAAAACTTGGTGGCAATAGTCATCTACAGATGAAATTTGAATATTCACAAAAATAGAACATACTCCTACAGGAAAAGACTTCCTTTTTGAATTTAGAGGAGGGCTACAAGGAGGTTGACTATTCCAGACAAAGCAAAAGTTTGAGCAAATGAACTGGGTGCAAGGACTAAGAACTTTCATGAAAGGAACTGAAAGAACACCAGAGTAGGACCACAGTGAAGGAAAGCTGGGGTGTCCTGTGATAGCACTGAGAATTAGGCAAGTTCACGTCATTCAGAAGAGGCTTGGGGCTGGGGATTTAGCTCAGCGGCAAAAGCGCCTGCCTGGCAAGCGCAAGGTCGTGAGTTCAGTTCCCGGTACTGGAGAAAAACCAAAAAAAAAAAACAAAAAAAAACAAAGAAGAGGCTTCTATCATAAGTATCTGAGTATATACCTGGCCAGAATTTTCCACCATTGGCCAGACATTTTCACACTCTGTTTACAATGAATCATTTTACTCTTGTGAAAGGTGTATAGGAGTAACTATTATTTTTAAAGTCATACCAAGGCCCACCTTACTCAGTAAGATGCTGTTCTGATTGCTGCAATGAGTGAAAAAATGCTTAAAGTCTCCATGAAAAATCTCCATGTAAAAATTGTACCAGCTTGGCACTTGACGTGTTTCCAAGAATTTAAGGGTATCTTCCCCGCATCCCAGATGGCCTTAGTTAAAGTAATGGAGTTGTGAATTGTGAGTGAACATCAGCAAGAGCAGTACTAATTTCTATAAGTGAGGGAGTGAAGGAGGACACTGTACACACAGCTTTTCAAACGTTCATATCAATTATGTAAGTATGTATACACAGGACAGCTAACATAGTTGTACTACTGTCTTCTACTGCTTTACTGAAGGAACAGTTAATGGTTACTTGTTTGATTGATCTTACATGTCTCTGTTGGTTTTCCTGAGAAACCACTTTAAAGATATCAGTACATAATACAACAACCATGGTTAATTTCCTACCACTTTGTCTGTAGATCTGTATTTTTTGTATTGTTCTTATGCTATTTTATAAATAGATGTCTATTTGTTAATATGTTTTCTTTCTTTTATTTTTAAAATAAATTAAAAAAAACCTGTTCATATCAGTGTCCGTCCCCACCCCTAAGATAAGGGGATAGGCTCTGATTGGAAGTATAACGTTCAAGTAACCTCATAATGTTAAATGCCATCAGTAAAACACTGGAAAAAAGAGTAAAGTGATCCCATCAAGATTAGGAATCGATAAAGTCTAAGGAAGGAAGTTTAAACAGATACTATAGACTAAGGAATAGATCTGAAGGAGGGAGGAGATGGATGAGTGCTTTTACCATGAGGAAAAAAATAGACGTGAAGGTTGAAAACAAGAAAAAAAATTGAAGCGATGGGACCATTTTGGTATATGTGGGACTCACATACAAAAAACAAGGTATAGTGAGTGATTACAGATGCAAATGGAAGAATTGAACCGAGTAGACCCCTGGGGGTCTTCTGAGTTGAGTTATGTAACATGAACTTCATTCTTTAATTGTAAAGGTAAGAGAAGTTACCATCAACTGTATTGGAAGATCCTGCTGGTCACGGGGTAGGCCTTGGAGATTGGCATCAGTGGGAAAGCTCTTCAGAGAGACTGACCAGTGAACAAGCTCTTCTGATGACCTGGGAAGAGATTACCTTGGGTTGGACTAGAGTAAAGTCACAGGAGATGGAGAAAAAGATCTGGTTCACAGTATTTCTAGGATATAAAGTAAAGAGCACTTGGTGACTGATTGTGGTTAGGAGGGAGAGGAAAGAGGGAAGAGGAAAAGATGATAGGTTGATTCTAAGCTTCTGGGTTGGGTAACAGAGTCATTTTTATGACCATGAACAGTAGTAGGGAACATGACTCAGATTGGGAGACAGAGATAATAAACTTAGTTGACACTGAGTTTATCAATGGGCTACATGTTGAGTTTGAGGTGCTAGAGGAGCTCCTACATCCAAAGCTAACACCGTTCTTAAGTTTAGAAGAGTGTTCTACCACATCTAGGTGATAGAAGCCATGCAAACAAATGAAATTGCTCATGGTAGCTGTACAGAGGGAGAAGACAGAGAGTCTACCTGCATCATAGCCTTGAAGCATGTGAGAAGTACAGGACAGCAGCCTCTCTGCTAATCTCATCCTGCTCACATTTACTTGTGTGCAATCACTTTGGGCTCCTAAATGCACACTTAAGAAATGTGGAGCTATCGATTCTTCCCATATTGCGCACTTCACCCCTTCTGCTCACATGCAAGCATATCAAAAGAGCTGTCTCCATCTACTTTTCCCTTTCTTCCCAAACTAGTCACTGCTCATTCTGCAGCATTAAAGAGCATCTCCGCCAACACATTTAAGCAGTTTTCAAGGTAACCCATGAGCTTATACCTTACTTCTAAGCCATTTTGTTTCTCTGACACTATCCCAATTGCATTTTCTCCTACTTCACCGGCTCTTCCAGTATTTCAAAGAATAACAAATATTCCCTGGAGAACTGCCAGTGTCTTATTTTTGATATCAAACTGAAGTTCAGTGTGGTTAGTCCATTAGTAATTGATTGTAATTAGTCACTGGGCCCAAGTCTGCTTCCTGACACAGCCCTACACTCAAATCTCCATGCCTCACCGTCTGTTTTCTGGAGGAACAGAAGAGGTGACTGGCAAATAAATAAAGGGCAGTTTGAGATGGATGGAAGAGTAGTACTGGCCTGTGATCACAAGACTGCAGCTCCCCAACGTGACCACAAGAGGGCAACATCAAGAAACGAATGGCTATCCTATTCCATCACAGTTCTGGATCTCCTTGGGTGGTGTGCTCTGAATGACAGCAGCAGTAGACTTGCCTGTGCTTCCAGCCGCTCCCCTGACTCCATTCCAGTAGCTCTTCTTTTCCAGCCCTGTTATTTCTCCTCTCCCTTCTACCCTGCCCCCACCCCAACTGGCCTCAGAAGAATTGGGTAGGATTCTGGCTCAGTTTTCCCTAGAGGCTAGAGCGCAGTTAAGGTCCCAGTTTGCTCCTTGGCAATCTTCATACTCCCCGAGGGCCCCAGAGAAGATACAAGTGGGTGATGCCCAGGCCTGAGGCACTGATTGCAAACGTGCTAGGCTTGGAGCAGGGACAGGAGGGAAAGGAGGTTTGTCCTGGCTTTGGGAAATCTGAGGATTGGGCACTGCATAAGGAAGCTGGGCCTTTGATAACACCACCCAGCTACTGGGCCAGACCTGCCAGCCAGCAGCCTTTCCAAGTCATAGTAGCCCGGATCGCAGACTGTGTCCCGTGACTTGCCCCAAGAGGAGTTTCTTCACGTCTCTCTGAGGCATCTTCCAAGCTTTGCCTTATTCCTTGGCTAGAGCTGCCCAGTTTATCCTCCTACCCTGCACTTAAGAAGCAGAGAGCAAGGGGAATTAATTCGACTGGGGGAAAAAAAAAGTAAAGTCCGCGCACACACATGTGTGTGTGTGTGTATGTGTGTGTGTGTATGTGTGTGATGACTTGCAATGAATGGGGGTGATAGATAATGAAGAAAGAAATTGAGAAGCTGGGCTGGAAAGTTAAGTTGGACCCATGCTGTGAAGAGCCTTGTATGCAGATCATAGCGTTTTTACTTGTCCTGAAGGCTCAGAGAATCACCTGTATCTTGCTAAACACGCTGTGTGGAGGCAGGAGTGTGGAAGGTGGGTTGCAGTAGACTGGGTTTGGAGGCAGAAGGGTGAGTCAGAAGGGTCTCTACATAGTAAAGGCGGACGGATTGATACAATGAGATGGAGGGAGGGAGAGCGTGGCAAATAAGAGTTAAGGCACCCGCAGATTAGCTCAAAAAGCAAAGTCATGCACGGAGGTGAAAGGGCAGATAAGTCAAGATGGGGCTAGCTGTCTGCCCTGACTTTGGTGACCTGCGTGCTGGGTGGTGCCTCCCTGAACTCAGTACCAGAGTGAAGGCACGGCTTTGGAGGGGTCTTATTTGGGGAAAGATGAGTGAGAGTTGTGCCGACTACTCTGGTGGACATATCAAGCAGGTGGTAGTTTATCTTTCTGGATCTCAGGACAAGAGCTTAGGGCAGAGAGGTCAGGAGGAAGCTGGGCCAGTGTGATGTGATATCAGCAGGAGAGAGGGTGGAGGAGGAAGTGTGCCTCTGACTGCCAGATAGTGAGGACTGCAGCACTGCATAATTCTCTCCCCAGACCTGGAATGCGTCCGGCTTCTGTGTCCCACCCCAGCCAGTACAGTTTATTAGTGCTGCTCATGTGAGCCTTGAGAGTGCCTGGTGGCAGATTTGGTTTTATACTTTGCCAAGGAGTGGAAAAGATCGCTCCGTCTCACCAGATTGCCCCACTCCCAGGATATCCAAACAGCTTCCGCCAATTTTCTCTGGTCTTGGGGTGGAGGTTGCACCTACTTCAGATGATTATATCAGGGAAGTTTGAGAAATGACACACAGTCCCTGTCTTGAAATCTAGTCCCTAGCTGAGTCTGTGCCTCCTGCTCTAAATCAGATTATAGAGGGTCTCAAAGTCAGCCACATACTGAAACTCTGACTCTGGACCTGAGCCTATCATAAACCTGACCAGAAGAGCTAGGGCTGTGGTGGAGACCTCTGCACACCTCTCCACCCTGGTGGGGAGCGGCTAAGAGTGATGGCCTGGTCGACAACATGAGCTTTGAAACTAAAGGACTTTTTAAAATATGTTTTATGAATGGGCATGTACGCATTGAGACTAAGAGCACTAGAATTGCTTTGTATAGCACTGGAGCCTTGGGGAGTCAGGATGAGATCTGGGGTATTTAGGGTGGTGTGTATAAGAAGAGTCAAAGTTCAGAGAAGCTGGGGTTCGGAATTACTAGAAATATTTAGTCTTGTTTGCTACTGTTACTGTTCCATTGCCTTTCCCTTAGAAGCCCTTTCTCTTCTCTGAGACATGACTTAATATTTCTTTTTTCCTTTCCTAGACCCTGGATTTGGGATGCGGAAATCACAACTCTTGGTCCCTATCATGGCCACTCCAAATGGAACACTGGTCCACCCAGCCCATTTCCTGCTGGTGGGTATCCCTGGTCTGGGGCCTAACATACACTTTTGGTTGGCTTTCCCACTGTGTTTTATGTATGCCTTGGCCACTCTGGGAAACCTGGCCATCGTTCTCATCATTCGTGTGGAGAGGCGTCTGCATGAGCCCATGTATCTCTTCCTGGCCATGCTTTCCACCATTGACCTCGTCCTCTCCTCGGTCACCATGCCCAAGGTGGTCAGCCTTTTCCTAATGGGCATCCGGGAGATTGAGTTCAATGCTTGTCTGGCCCAGATGTTCCTTATCCATGCTTTGTCAGCCATGGAGTCGGCTGTCCTATTGGCTATGGCTTTTGACCGCTTTGTGGCCATATGCCACCCACTACGCCATGCTTCTGTGCTCACGGGGCCTGTTGTAGTCAAGATTGGACTGGCTGCCTTGATCAGAGGATTTGTGTTCTTCTTCCCACTGCCCTTCCTCCTGAAGCGGCTGTCATACTGCCGAACACATACTGTCACACACTCCTTCTGTCTGCACCAAGATATTATGAAGCTGTCCTGTACTGACACCATAGTCAATGTGGTTTATGGACTCTTTATCATCCTTTCAGTAATGGGTGTGGACTCCCTCTTCATTGGATTCTCCTATATCCTCATCTTGCGGGCTGTGTTGGAGCTCTCCTCTCGAGGGGAAGCACTTAAAGCCTTCAATACCTGCATCTCCCATCTCTGTGCTGTCCTGGTCTTCTATGTGCCACTCATTGGGCTCTCAGTTGTACACAGGCTGGGTGGTCCCACTTCCTTGCTCCATGTGCTCATGGCTGATATCTATCTACTGCTGCCACCTGTAGTCAACCCCATTGTCTATGGAGCCAAGACCAAGGAGATCCGCTCAAGAGTCATCCATATATTCTCACGGGGTGACAGGTGAGAAGGACACCCACCCCAGTGTCCTCAATACTGCCAGAGAGGAGAGAATGAGGGTCTGCAGAATGGCATGGTGATTGGAGCATCCAACCCAGTGGGCTGTCGGCTTTCTGTTATCTAAATAAATCTTTTACCTCTGTCCCCAGGAATGAGTCAATACAGAATTTATGACCTTGTCTGCACAGGCCATTCCTAGAGAACAACTGCTATAACCCTTCTGTTAGAATAGCCTGCCCTTTTCCCTCTTTCCCAACTAGAAAATATGCACAGCTTTGAAATGGGAAGGCTCTAAATGCCACAGCTCATAATTCCTTGATGTATGATTTATAGTTGTGCTTGCTCCCATGTCTGTGTTGATGCATCTGTGTTGGCTATAAAACTTATTGTTTATATCCAAAAGTGGTGACATAGTTATAAATATGAGTTCATGAAAGTGTTTTGTGTAATAACCGGAGGGACCTGTAACAGGAGAGGAAGTAGCCGACATGAAGTGTTTAAGTTTCATTATGCATGTGCGTGTGTTTTGTGGAATCTGCCAATGTGCATCACTGTAAGTGTATGGGGTGTAATGGTTGTAGCTATGGTGGGCATGTTTACATAGGTATAGTAATGTGTGTGTTTGCCCATGTGTGTGCAAGAGAGTTGAATGAATGAATGAGGATGGAATATGTGCCAGCTGTGTCTTGATGAGTGTGGTAGCTGTACTGTGGTGTACATATGTTTTATGTTTTGTTTCTGCTTATACTTTTACTCCATTTATGTTGTATCTGAGAGTTGGTATGTGACAGGCATCTATGTGAAAATGTTGCTCTGTGTATCTGTTTGCTGGGCAGTGTTTTTATGTGTATCTGGTGAGAATGTTGCCTGAGATTTAGAAACCTAGATCTTTTCTTGAGATTAGAAGCATATAGAATGTAGTGCACATATGTGTGGACTTTGTAGTATTGGGAGGGTTGTACCTGTTGGCATGTGTAACATTTATCTTAGAGTTTGTGTCTATTGTGAAAACCATTTTTGATATGAAATTTTTTGTGCTGCACATATGCCTTTAGACACATGTGGGTGGAGTGCAGTGTCTGAAGTGTGTGTCTGTGTGTGATTTGTTTGTGATTGTATTTTTGGGTCTGTGTCTGATACCTATATTCTAGGGCACTTTTTTGTATATCAGCTATAGTTCTGTGACACAAGAATGAGTATAGGTTTTGCATTTGTGAGCACTGATTGATGTATGATGTCTGTATGATTGGGGAGAGGGGATTAAAGAGGTCTAACCATAAGTAGCAGGAATAACTTTCCATGCTGAGAGACACGCCTGTAAGAAACCTGAATCCTTGGTCTGGGCTCTGTTTGAGGGTATGCCTCTGTCTCTGGGAGTGCAGACAAGCACAGGACTTCTTTGTTCCATCTTCTCAAAGGCCAAACTATATTTTCTACATTTTAAGCGCAAAGATTTTACCACTTTTGTCATCTTTTCACACCTTCCTTGCCTCAGGGTGTTTTTACTAAAAAATAAATAACAAACAGGTTGAAAGGTGCAGCCATCCCAATACTCCACAGTCCATACATCTGTACAGAACGTTCCATGTGTTATTCTACTAAGGCATCGGCCTCCCTAAGGGCCTATCTTCCTTCCTCAGAAGCAGGTCATAGTATCTTCACCTTCTTCTTCCCTTTTGCTAGTTTGCCAAATATACTTAAAAGGGCCTGGGGGCTGGGGATTTAGCTCAGCGGCAAAAGCGCCTGCCTGGCAAGTGCAAGGTCGTGAGTTCGGTTCCCGGTACCGGAGAAAAAACAAAACAAACAAACAAACAAAAAAACAAAATACTTAAAAGGGCCTGACTAGAGGGAGGTTTTGTCAACCTTTTAGGGAGAGCGTGGACAAGGTGAAGACAAATACATGACTCTGCTAGGCTTTGGCATCTCCTACAGAGCACTTCCCTGCAGGTACATTCTATTTCTAGCTCATGAAATCAGATAAGAAACATTCACATTCATAGAACTACAGGTCGAAAGCAGTGTATTCACAGATTCATTTGAAGTAGAGGAAAGAATCCTTAAATGGGTCTTTTAATGGCATGATTTATATTTACAGTGATGGCAAAAATTTGGAGCTTTCAGTGATAACAAGTAGCTGGCTGCGGCACATGGGCCATAGGTCACCACCCCTGGCTTTTTTTTTTGTTTTTTTTATTTTTGTTTTTCTTCCGGTACCAGGAATGGAATCCATGACCTTGCACTTGCCAGGCAGGTGCTCTGCTGCTGAGCTAAATCCCCGGCCCCACCCCTGGCTTATAACCTCTCTAGATCTCATTTTCTCTTCTGTATAGTGTGAAATTACAATAGCAGTGATGTTGCGAACATCCTTTGTAAACAGTGAGGTGTTGTAAACATGTAATAAATGATCACAATTATTGTTGTTCCATTGTACAAGTTTTTGAGAACAACATTCACATCATGCTCTATGTTGATGGTGCTCTGAAATTTTGCAGTGCTTTACCAGTGTGGTTATGTATGGCTATCCTCATTTATTGTTACTAATCAGAAAATCTCTTGATAAGTTTTTTTTTTTTTTTTTTTAAAGCTTAAAAGAAGTTGAAATTATTATTTTTTTGGGGGGGTTTGGGTTTGTTTTTTCTCCTGTACCAGGAACTGAACTCATGACCCGCTTGCCAGGCAGGTGCTGTGCCGCTGAGCTAAATTACCAGCCCCCTGAAATTCATTTCCCATTTTTGGGAACCTGATTTATAAGTGAAATTCAAAGAAAGCAGAACCCTGCCAAGAGTGTGCTTTGGACAGCTAATATCTCTATCAGGAAAAGAGACATTGTTGGGTGGGAATTAGATGGGGTACAGATTATGATCACTGGCTTTGATTTGGGGGTCAGTTTCTTAACCTACTAAACTTCAGACTCTGTAGGACGGTTGTAAGGATTAAATAGGGTTATAGCTACAAATATACATGGAAAATAGAAAGTGGTCAAAAAAATTAGTGACAACAATTCTAAGTAATCAAACTGCCAAAATGAGGCCTGCTAATTTCATCCTAGGAAACAGTATTCAAAGTACAGTAGTCCTTACCTTTCATAATAAACTCATCTGCCAACACCAGAAATTCTTCACTGTTCTAGGCTGAAATGTCACTGGATTTAGATTAGCTTGTGGCCTTCTTATTTGGGAGAGTCTGGGACAACTCTGAGTTCTCTAGAATCTCTTTACTTGGATAACTGCTGGGTCACTGTTGCTCTGGGGAAGACAGGATCTAACTGCCAGACTATATCAAGAGCTTCCACAGTCTCTGCGCTTCCCTCCAACATAAACACAAACGTGTATAAGCCAACTGGATGCTTATCCTGCTGTGATAGATCTTACATGATGGATATCTATTTATTTTTTATTATAGAATTTAAACGTCCATGTGAGAGTGTGTGTCTCTCCAGAGGGTGGGGATCACATCGCATGCTTTGCTATGTTTTCAGAACCTGGAACTAAAGGTGCAGGATGTCTATTTGTTCTCTTGTCCCTTTCTTTATAAATTATTTCATCATCTCTTGTTTCTTTCCGTATAAATTATTTTCCTTAGTTTGTCCTGTGTTGTATGAAGTCTAAACAGTACCTTCTTCAGCTGTTAGTGATCAGCTAAGATCTATACAAAACATTCTATTTCAGATAATGTTTCTACTCCCAGTTTACAGTTAAGCAAATCAAGCCTCTGATTAGTTAAGTGACTACCTAAGGTCACATAGCTGCAACCAGGATAGTGCTCACTGTCAATTTTGTCTTCACTTGAACCTAGATCTGAAGATGTTGTCACCATGTGTTAAAAGGTACAAAAACTTCTATAGGTGAGGCAACCTGAGGACTATGCCCTCATGGTGTACCCCATTTCTGTGTGACATCTCCACCTGGCTTGGCCCAGGAAATGGCCTTTTGAGTATCTATATGTCTATCTATCTATCTATCTATATCTATCTATCTATCTATCTATCATCTACCTATCATCTGTCATAATTAGAAGGCCTCCCACAGCCATCTTTCCTAGGGCAGATAATTTTTCAAGTAGTACTCACAAATTTTCTGTTTTGCTCTTAAGAGGCAAAGGGGATCCACATTCTCTCCCTATGCCCTTACTCTTCCCAGCCCGTCAGTTAGCAGATACAGTAGAATGGTCCACTTACTCTTGGAAAAACATTTCTGAGTAGTTTTAGAGGCCACCTGAGAGCTGTGTTCCTTTACTGTGGCTTTTGCGGAGGCTCGTGTTTACCACACTTATCCCACCTGGGATTAAGTTTATCTCAAAATTTATGCTTACCTCTAATCTTCTAAATCGATTCTTTCCTTAGCTTTAGGAAGCTTGCTTACAGGCATATACTGATCAGTAGTTGGTTGAATTTTTGATGAAGACTTTCTACTTATCTTTGGTGTTCTCTCTCCACGTGTATCTCTCATCTCTGACACTTTACCTTCAAATTATAACTGGGTTGGTCTTCCTGAACCCTCAGTTTATCACCTCAACTCAGGGAGTCCTCTGGATTCTGCCTGGATTCACTTTGCCTTTGCTGCAAAACTTCCTCAAGGCTGCAAGTGGGTAAGCTGCAGATCATATTCATTTACCTTGTCTCATTGTCCTTCATTGACTGATGCCCAGGATCTTGCAAATTATTTTATGTAGCTCGTCTACCTTTTCATTTGTTTAGGTTGATATTATTTCCTGTCATTCCATCCCAGATGGACATAGAAATCCCTACGGAACATTGAAAAAGTCTTTGCATCTTCTAAGCTTATGGGGGGATCAATGGAGGCAGCAGAGATATATCTAAGGTGATGGCAGAAAATGTCAGCCTGCAAGTTCTACAGGGACCAGAAGTTCTTGTAATCAGTAATTTTGATGTGCTGTGAGTAAGACTGGTCTTGTTTGACACTATCTGTTTTTATTGAATTAGCATGCCTTACACTGTAAATTCATTACAGTGATACTGATAAATTAAAAATAAGGGTAAACCAAATACAAGTCATGATGCTTTCTTTATTACAGACATAGTTTTAACTTCTTTCAAAATGTAACATATTCAGTTTCACATTCAAGTCGTTCTCTAACTGTCTAAAAATTCTCTTACTATTTTTGCCCTTAAGAGACACACCAGATGGTATTGGTCTTATATGGCTGGGTTGAGGGTAGCAAAGGTTAAAGAATAAAAGTCCTTCCCCCTCAGTCAGAAAGTTAGTAAATTAAGGCCAGGGAATGGGAGAAAGTGTCCTTGGGGACCCGTGTAATGAGTTGGCCAGACACAGGAGCCTGAGCCTGGGAGACAAAGAAGCCCTAGGACTTTGGGAAGGGAGGCTGGATCCATTGGGTTCAGCGTCCATCAGAGGAAAGGCAGGGGAGAGAGAAAGCTTCAGGATGGGAAAAGGCTGGCATTGAATCATGGGTTCTCTTTGAAAACTTTGTCTTTCCTCTGACCAAGTGTGATCAGGTTATGAAAAAGCCTGGAAAAAGACCCTTTGAAAGACCAAAAAAAAAAGGGTTTATTGGCCTTTTCTTACACTAACTTTTCATTGATAACTGACGTATGTAAGCCAGCTCCCAAAGGCCTATTTGAGGAGGACTCTAGAGGCTCACATTATGTGCTGCTCCTTCTTCCTCACACCACTAGGACAGCTTTCTAGAATGTGGATTCTGAGAAGAAATCCAAAACCACAGTTGGCTTGTGAGGAGTATCTGCCGATGGACTCTGGACAAAACCCTGCATGCCCAGCAGGGAGGAGCAGGAAAGAGGAGGGCAGACTGAGAATAAATAACCCTGGCCACTGAGATCTAGAAAAGGAGGTGGAGACAGAGAGGGCGGGGCTTTAGCACAGCCTGCTAGACCTCTTTTGGAAGAGGGCCGGGAAGAAAGACACACACTCCTGCAGGACAGCTGAGGTGAGTGCAGGAGACCAGAGGGTAGCTGAGAGCATGTGGGTTACCTATAGCTAGAGATCTTCCACTAGGATTGCTGAGAGAATAAGAAACCAGGCTGTGAAGCACCAGTGTACAGGGTAGGGCTAGGGGATGTGTAGGAACCTTTCCATCCAAAGGGTGGCACTCTTACTGACTTCTGTGTTTGCGTGTGAAGGGAAGCATTGGGTGTTCACTGTTGCCTAAGGATAGTTTTCAGGCACAGTTTCAATGACCAGTGTACTGGAACACCCATTGAAATCCTGGCATGCACGAATGTGAATGGGACAGAGAACAGATTTTGCTCGTGCTAGATTGGGGTTGGATTGGGATTGAACTGGGCAGGGGCCAACCCTGGTGTTAGTGTGGTTGAAGATCAGGCTTTGGGTAGGGTTGTCTTGTGGGCTCTGAGCAGGGAAGGTGCTCCTCCTATGCTTTGCATCAGGAGTTAGGGCGTGGTTGAATTTGGGAGGCAGTGATCCTGCTGGTGCTTCAAGCTTGGTTTAGTCTGAGCCTAGTACAGGATTCAGTCTTAGCCCTGTTTTAAAAAGTGGCTTAGTGTCCACCCTGCAGTCACGTCTGCCTTTGTACTCTTCTCCCCAACCATGCCTGGGTGCTTGCCGCTTTCCAAACAGGTCTCTCCTCTTTCACTCTGGGTCTTTGCCTTTGCCAGGTGAACTTTCAAAAATGAAATCAAGTCCACCACTTAAATTCCTCCATTCACTCAGAATTAAGCCAAAGCTCCTTGCCATGTTCCACAAACCAGTCACCTGACCGGATCTTTGTCTTCCTATGACCTGATCTTAATCTCTCCAGTGTTCTGGCCACCTGGGTCTTTCTGTTCTCTATACTACTAGACTCAGTCTTGCTGTAAGACCTTTTCCTCACGTCATTTCCTGTGTCTGGGATGCTCTTTCCTCCAATCTTAGAGGGGCTGGCATTTTCTCACCATATAGCTCTCAGCGCCATGTCAGCTCGTCAGAGAGGCTCTCTTTGACTCCTGTCTCAGTTCCACCTTTATCCTATCATTTCATCTAGTCCTTAGTGCACTTACCTTACCTGAAATTTTCTTGCCTATTTCTTTACTTTTTGTTGTTGCCCTCCTAGCATGTGAGCTGTATGAGAGCAGTGATCTTTCCTCTTTTATCCAGTGTTTGATCTCCAGTGTTGATCCTCACTTTGTTTCTTGCTATCTATCTTCTGCTGTCTCTACACCCACCTAACTCCCTGTTAAGTGCAACTGGCTCTGCAAGCCATAGCTCAGTATCACCTCTTCTAGAAAGCCCTCTGAGCCTAAAAACTTGGTGAGCTACTGTCGTCTTTGCTTGTGAGAGTTGATGCTGGTCTTGTCCTAGTGCTTCCCACAATGTACTGTGATGATTTGAGTGTTTGTCTCAATTTCTCCCTACCCCAGAGGGCTGGACCTGTGCCTTTGCTTACTCTGTTCTTTAATGAGTAAACTCAGTGAAGTAAGCTCAGTGAGAGTGACACAGAGGAGCCAGCCAGATAGTAATTGTTGAAAAAAAAATCAGAGCCACTGATCACAGTTCCATATCCGGTGTTTCCCTTTTGTTGCATTTGCCAGCAGGCAGGCACAAACCACACTAGCTCTGCAGGGTGCTGAACGTAGGCCAAGCTTTGCAAGTGTCCAGAACACTCAACTGGCCCTACTCAGAAAGTGGTGCAGTGGTGGTGGGGACTTGAACCCTAGAAGTCTGCATAGGGCTATTTTAGGGGAGTACTAGTCTGGCTGGAGTGAATAAGGTAGGGTGGAGCCTTCACAATCACTTTTTGGGTTAGAAATTGTGCTCTCATCTTTCCATTATTATCTTAGCAGTTTAAAAAAGATTGGCCAATATTCTGCAAGGTTAATCTGCTTCATCAGATCCAAGCAAGGTGTGGGACACAGGGAATGCAGATAATTTGGGAGTGCATGATTCTTGGGAATACTACCCTCATGAAGTGTATGGACAGTGTCTTCCTCTCCAAGAATCAGGTGTCAGTCTCCTCCAGTCTTCACAACCACAGCATCACTCTTGAGGTCAGTCTTGCCCCTCTGGGTCTGGCAGTAAGAGCCAGAGGCTCCAAGGCATGTCTGAGCTTACCTTCAAGGGCACTCTCTGCCAAAGTTCCCCACAGAGGCTGAAGGCAGCGTCACAAGTCCCTAGTCCATTACTCTGGGCATAGAACATAATATGTGGTTGGCTTGGATAATGACAGAAACCACAAATCCCCTCCCTTTTTATCCTATTTAGGCTGAACCTAAGTGGGGAGAGCTGGTCAGGTGTCTTATGCCGTAGAATGGTCCCTTGACTCCTGAGTCCTTTATTTTGGATATCTTAGAAATTAATGTGAACATTGTCCTTATACAATATCTGACTATTCTTAAAGAGACTGAGAGAGGGAGGTTAATAGCCTGGAATACTGGAAAACATAAGGATTTGGCACTTAGGGCTCTAACTAAGCATCATTATCTTTATCTGCTAAATGGGACGATTACTTGACAGACTGATGAGAAACTTTAGTTAGATAAGATGGAGATACTTGGTAGAGGACAAAGTTTTTTAATCACCACTGAGGGGTCCGCCCATGTCACAGCCAGGAGAGTTGATGCTAGAAGAGGAGGAAGGTGCCTCGAGTTCCCATCCAGGAAAGTCCTCCTTACGGCCCTGTAAGCTGCCCTTCTAAGACTGTGCCTGGGCCAAAAAGTCCTACTTACCAAGCACCTCTTGTACCTTTTCCCAGAGTAGGTTTTGTTAGATTCCAGAAAGTACAGCACAGCACAACTAAATCCTAGAATAAGGGAAAGCATTCAGGTCTTGGGGTTGTCTAGGTGAAGTTTCTACTTTACTAATCCACTGTGAAACAATAGGCCCGCTACTCAACTTCTTGGAGGCTCAGCTTTTTCATCTATAATGTAGAGAAGACATACAGATTTCTTATTATGCAGAATTGTTGTTAAGTTACAGATAATATTTTGACAATTGGTACAGTGGCATTTTGTAGGCACTCAGTGGTCTGCTAATTCCATAGAAACAACAAAATCAGTGTTCGGAGTGACTGAGGGGATGGGAGAAAGGATGAAGGGCCCTGGTCCTCCTCTCCATCAGCTTTTCCATGGGTCCTTGAGAAAGAAGGAATTCAGAACCGGAAAAAAACGCTCAGGAAGGAGCGCTGAGCTAGCAACAGAGGGCAGAGTCCTGAAGGCCAGAGAAAAGGAAGAAGAGAATTGAGGGCCTCAAAATAGATTTCCAAGGGGCCAGGGTATAGCTCAATGAGAAGGTGTCTACCTGGCAAGTATAAGGTCATGAGTTTGATTCCAGGTACCAAAAAAAGAAATAGATTTCCACTCTGTATAGTGGGTGGCGCCTGCTCCCAAGTTCCTGAGAAAAGGTTAATATGTTCTTCCTAGTTCTCCAAGAGCATCCCAGGAATTTGGTCAGACAATTTGACTTTTTAGAGAAAATTTTAAGCACAAATCTACTCCCTAGGGATCAGGACAGTGTGTGGGCTTTCTAAAAAAAAAATAAAGAAAATATACTTTCTTAGTTTATTTTTCTTTAACTGTGTTTTGTTTTTGAAATAGAATGGTTTAGTTCCAACTTTCTCCTGTGCTCTAAACTATCTGTGAGTGTGTGCAAATGGTTCTAATTACTCACAGATGTTGAGGCTGGAAGGCCACCTGGAAGTCATCTCTTCACTGTCCTGTCTGCTAGGGAGGAAGACTGTGGTGGACTGGGGTGCCTCAGGGTTGGCAGTCTGAAGAGTGACATTTGGGCTTTCTGGCTGGCTCCCTTCACATGCCTTCATTTTTTTCCTGATGACATTTTATCTCTAGCCATAGCTGTCCAAGCACCTCCCTTGCAAGCCAGCTAACTCTCCTTTTTTATTATTTCTGGCATCTCTATATCAATACCCAGTCTTGCCATTGCAAAAAATTGATTGCTATCATTGTGTGTGTGTGTGTGTGTGTGTGTGTGTGTGTGTGTAACAAATATATATAGAAAATAAGTGACTGAGGTGATAGATTTGAAGAAATACATTTTTGGAAGCTTTGTACATTTTCATAGACCTTGTTTCCTATTTTTATGGAAAATGCACTGTTATTATTTTTCAAATGTCTTTTGACGTCTCATATAATTTCACAGCTGTGGCAGGAAGTTATTATTCTTTTCTGTATTATTTAGAGCCATGACTTGTATTCCTAGACCCAGGGTTCTGCTCACCACATCGAGCTACCCTCTGAGGCAATAGGGTTGCATATGGTAATCCATGATTCTTTCCCAGTGTATATTTCCTTACACAGCACACTTTTGATCTTGAGGAATCTGCCTGCTCTAGCAGATAAATTCATGTGAAATTTCTAGATGGCAAGGGCGTCTGGCCCTTTGAAGCCTCAAAGCCTTCTTGGTAAGGTCTCCAGGCTAGGATTCCCAGGTCTCCCTTCCTTTCAGCCTAAGCTGTGTGCATATCCTCTGCATTTATGTTGCAGCTGCCCTGATTTCTGTATATCCTCCCACGTCCTGTGGCTCCCTGAGTAAAAAAAATATAGTGATCCTGAAAATTCTTGTTCTAAACTTAAGACTACCCTGAACTGACCTTTCAAACATTGTTTCCTCCCTCTCAAAGTCTCTTAAGTTCAGATATCTGGCAGTGCTACATACCCCTTGGCTATGTTATCTTCATTAGATGCTCATTGAAAGATTCATCTATTGATAAAGCTTATTTTCATCTTCAATAAGCATTAACAGTAATTGATAAATATAATAAGATCTTTGGCATGAAGGAGTTCATAATTTAGCCAGAATAAATGTAATTATATTGCTTATTATTGGGGGAATATAAAATGAGAGCTAAGTGAAATACTTTGGAAGCATAGAGCAGGAAACATTTAATTACACCCTGGGGAAAGAAGCATAGGAAACATAGCATAGAGAAAGTAAGCCAGGAGATGCAAATGAGTGTGGGGGGAAGTGAAGGAGGCAGATCCTGTCAAGGAGGCAGGAAGTGATTTTATGTCTATTTATCATTCACCTATCTACCTGTCTATCTGTCTTATATCAATGTATATGACAGAGGGATGAGAAATTTAAAAAAAAAGAGAAAAAGACACAGTCATGGATGTCAGTGCTGCATGTATGAGGCAGCGTGCATTCCAGTGTGCTTGGAGCACAGGGGCCATGGTGAGGAGTGTGAGGAGAGACCTAGGGTCACACTACATTGAGAAAGACAGACTGTTAGAGTTTTCAAAAGTATTTTTTTTTTTTTAAACACTAAGCACTCGTTTGAGTTCATCTGGCTAGATTGCCTGGACTGTGTTGATGAGGAAGGGTATTAGAGGCCTGACCTGATGGACTCACGGTCTTGCTTGTGTAACTGGTGACCACTGTGGTAGAAAAAAAATACAATCTGGAGGAAAACAGTCAATAACAACAGGAATGACTTTTCATACTTAGTATACATGAGGTGTTGTGTTAAATGCTTTGCAGTCATTGTCTCATTTAATCCTTATCTTGGCAGGGGCTACCAGCATTTTAAAGAAGAAACTCAGTCTTTGCAAGTAAATGATTTGCCCTGCATTGCACAGCTAAGGACTGAGATTTGAATTTGGGATTGACTTCAAGGCTCGTTTTCTTATTAGCTACACAATAGTAGTTCAGGAAGAGTATTTGATGTACTTCGCAGGGAGCCAGGTGAACCTTTTTAGTAAGATTTTAGAATTATGGATCTGATTTTAGAATTTTAGAATTATGGATCACAGAAGAGAATTCAGGACTCACCAGATAGATTTGAAAGCCAAGAGTTTATTCATAAGAAAATGAATTTTCTTAAGGGAATAAGATGGTCAAAGAAGAGAGTATAGAAAAAGAAGAGCACCAAAGATACAAGACCAGGAGCCAGTGTGCAACTGTGTATTTGTGGTGTGTGTGTGCAAGAATATTTAAAAACTGCAGTGTACCTGATCTGATTAAATACTTGTGAATATTTCCATGAAGAAGTGAGGAAGGATGGGGCAGGAGGGAGTTAGCTAACTCTCTTAACAGAAGAATGCGATCTGAGATAATGGGAGTATGATATCCACCTGAACAATATCTCCATTTTTATAGCTAGATTCAATTCAGATTCAGCCTGAACCTTGCTATCGGATCAATTATCCTTCCAGTGCTCTTAATGCCACCATCTCAGGTTTTGTATCCTAATTGAGTCAATTCCATTGTCAGGCTGGGTAGGTCTCCTCGAAATAGAGCACGACAGATTCTTGTTCAAATGACACAAAGTGGTCCTCTGTTAACTGCGGGGATGGTGTTCCAAGACTCCTAGTGGACAGTTGAAATTGAACCCTATATATATTGTGTCTCTTCCTACACCTACATAACTATGATACCTTTCCCCTTTTTACCTAAAGGGATCCTTTATAGCTCCTCTTTGGAATAGCCACATTACCAGCCTCATTACTCTTCCACTTAGAGGCAAGGAGGCTGGCTTTCTGTATCTTCATGTCAGGCAGTCCTTGGCATCTAACAACCACAGTTCTCTCAAGAAGAGCTATGAGCCCTTAACACTCAACACCCACTGCAGATGGGAGACAGGTGCTTTGGATCTGGGTGGGATACCAATGGCATCTGCTGTGGTTATCTTTTTTTTCTGATGTGAACCGAATAATATGGACAAGTGTAAAACTTTGAGTAGATATTTGGGCAAGGATGAAATGTAGCATTAGAATTCAGGATTAAATTAGTGTCAGGTTTTTATTGGAATTAGGTTTATCATAATAGTCTATTAATTTTGGTCATTAAGTTTGAAATGGCCATTAAGTATTGGGTTACTGTTACAGTTATAGTTAAGGCTAGAAGTGGGGAGATCAATAGATTAGTGATGAGATTAGGTTTCATTGTTAATCTGTGTTAGTACTAGTATTGCTAATTTTAATTTGCAATTCATTTTAAGACGGTGAAATGATATCGTTAGAATTCACTATTAAGCACAGGGGAGAAAAGGAATAGAACAGGAAAAAGGAAGTGATTTTATATCTATTTATCATCTATCTATCTACCTATCCATCTATTTTACATCAATGTATATTCGGTAAGTAGCCTTTCTAGAGAACTAAATAATTTTAAAATATGATTATAATTTTGTCTTAGTATTTCACTTGTTGTTAAGATTGACTATGCAGGTGGGCCTATGGGATTAGTAAGTATTAGTGGGTGAATTTGAGTTTGGTGCTTGACTTAGTGTTAGACTGAGTTTAGAATAGAATCAGAATTTGGATGGGCAGTGGAAATAGAGTTTGCCTAAGAGAATAGGACATTGGGATGAGGGAGACGTGGCTTTCGGTTTCTTGAGAACCTGACGATGACTTATCTTTGCATTGCAGCCTCTACGTTCCTGGTATTGGTCCCAGCCCAGCTCCTTCACTATGGTGGTCCCCACTGGCAATGAATCCAGTGCCACGTATTTCATCCTAATAGGCCTCCCAGGCTTGGAAGAGGCTCAGTTCTGGTTGGCCTTTCCCTTGTGCTCACTCTACCTTATTGCCGTGCTAGGTAACTTGATGATCATCTACATCGTGCGGACTGAACACAGCCTACATGAGCCCATGTATATCTTTCTTTGCATGCTTTCTGGCCTGGACATCCTCATCTCCACCTCCTCCATGCCCAAAATGATGGCTATCTTCTGGTTTAATTCCACGACCATCCAGTTTGATGCTTGTTTGGTACAAATGTTTGCCATCCATTCCTTATCTGGCATGGAGTCCACGGTGCTGTTGGCCATGGCCTTTGATCGCTACGTGGCCATCTGCCATCCATTACGCCACGCCACTGTGCTTACGTTGCCTCGTGTTGCCAAGATTGGCATGGCTGCCGTGGTACGGGGTGCTGCGCTGATGGCTCCCTTGCCTGTCTTCATCAAACAGCTGCCCTTCTGCCGCTCCAACGTCCTTTCCCACTCCTACTGCCTACACCAGGACGTCATGAAGTTGGCCTGTGCTGACATCCGTGTCAATGTCATTTATGGCCTCATTGTCATCATCTCTGCCATTGGCCTGGATTCCCTTCTCATCTCCTTTTCATATCTGCTTATCCTTAAGACTGTGTTGGGTTTGACACGTGAAGCCCAGGCAAAGGCTTTTGGCACTTGTGTCTCCCATGTCTGTGCTGTTTTCATATTCTATGTGCCTTTCATCGGATTGTCTATGGTGCACCGTTTTAGTAAGCGGCGTGACTCTCTCCTGCCTGTCATCATGGCCAACATCTATCTATTGGTTCCTCCTGTGCTCAACCCCATTGTCTACGGGGTGAAGACAAAGCAGATCCGACAGCGCATCCTTCGTCTTTTCCATGTGACCACACATATGACAGACTCCTAAGGGTCACTGAGCAACTTTGTTTTCATTCAAAGTCCTCTAATTCAGATTTTTCATGTCAATGTTTTGGAAAACAGTATTAAGGAAACAAATCTCCCTTAATAGAATACAACTTGGATCCTTCAAAGTTGAAACTGGTTGGGGATTCTCCACGTGAAAAGGGATGGCAGGACCACATATTTCTATATTATGTTCCCTTTTGTTTTTTATTCCTATAATTATTAGAACTTTTGCATAGTGGTGGCGGAAGGGTTATTACTTCTCATTTTATTATCCAGTCCAGATTGAAGTTGCTTCCACTGGTGGTCCACAGAGTTCTGAGATCAAGGCAGTGTACCTAAAGGACATTTGTCAAAGGCCTAAGCATAACAAAAGGAAACTAAATACAAGAATCTAATAAAATTAGATCACCTAGCCTAAGACTCTAACTTCCTCTTCAGAATTCTCAATATTTCTGGACCTCCCGAAAGGAGATATACCTGGCTTTCCTTCTTCAAGACAACCTTCACAGAGAAGAAATAATTGCTTTTTCCCTGGGCACTGGGCCCTGAATAAAAGGTTGAAAATAAAGCCTTAAAAAAACCCCACATCAGCTTATACTTTGTTCAGAGAATGAAAGATAACACACTTTGTTCTGAGAGTGTTCACAGCCTATGGACTCTCATTTCCTTATTTAATTCTTAAAATCAAACTTTTGGCTTAGGCAGGAATATAATGAGCACCCTCACTGTACCAGTAGAGAAACTGATGTCCCATGGGGACCAGTAAATTGCATAGCGTCAAGTAAGCTCAGAGAATATTAAGACTTTTCATGTCCAATTCTATAGCATATGACAGGATTGATAGACAACAGTAGGATAGTGTATCGGGTATTTCCAGAGGAAGTATTTAATCCTGTCTGCCACTCATTCTGTATTGTATTGGGAAATGTCCTGTTGCTGGATCTCATGGTTTTCCTTCCAGTAGCTCTTGTTCTTTTTTCTGGTGTAGCTGCCACTGTGCTATGCTGTGGAAGCAGGAGTGTGCTTGGGGAGTTCTTGAGCAGTGGTTTGTTTGGGAAATATTGTGATTAGCAGTGGAGTCTGGGACATCTGAGAGACCTTTAAGGAAGAGAAGCATCTGAGGCCATCCAGCAGCCCATGGAATAATGGCAGGACTTGTTACCACAGACCAGGGAGCCAAGAGCAAGAGGTATCATGAGCCTTAGAAGGGCCAATTGCCCGTGTACCTGGGCCAGAAGCAAGACTGAGGGAAGGATGGATTGGCAGAAAGTGAAGACAGTGTATACAGGGGCACTACCTGTCCCCACATGTCCCCAGGGCTTTGCGTTGTCCTGCAGGGGAAGGTTATAAAATGAAGGTCGTTCAGCAATATCAAGGGAAAGAGCAACGAGCACTGTATGCTTGCTGGCTGTGCTTAACATGAATTTGGCCCTGTGGCCCACCTGGGAGTCCTGCAAGCCAGGCATAGCACTTCTAGGAGTATGGTGGTCTTTGTAGGAGTATCCTACAAGTGCACTGAGCAGGAAGTGAGATCATCACTCATGGGGAGAGCGCTAACAGACCCAAAGTGAGGCAGGTGAGTATGAGAGAAGGCAGCATAGTGAAGAATAGAGCACACTGCCAGGCAGAATTTTCTTGCCATAGCTAGTGGCATGGAGGCTTGCCTCCCTGGTAAAGAGACATAGACACAGCATATATAATTTCTTGGATTGTGATGCAGAAGTTGAGGATTGTGGCTAACATGGAATTGGGTAGGCCCAGGTGAGTGGTGGCTGGAAGAACTAGGAGCATCAGATGGGGTCAGGGCAGGCTGCAGCCACTTTGAATTGTATGGGAGATTCGCTGGTCTCTCACAAGTGCCCTGACATTGGAATTGAGAAAGGAATAAAGAGAGAGAAAAGACATGTTTTTCTTATTAGGAAAGTAATGTATGACCATTGTAATAAAAACAATACAATGTGAAAATATGAAAGAAATAAAAATATAATAAATATCTCCAATAAAGTTGTTACCTTAAAGAGTTAAAAATCATTGTTAGCATTTTGGTGTTTTTGTTTCAGATTTTAGATGTGCGTCTGTATACATGCTTCTGAATGGGTACAAGATAAATATATGTGTCTGTTTTATATTTGTAATTCTTTTGGAGGCATGATAGATAATAAACAGATGAATCAGATGGACCCATTTTAAATGTTTCTAGGGATGCAGTCATTTTCCTAAATTTTAGAAGGACAAAGATTTATGAATTTGGTCCTGACTGGCTGAATTTTTTCATGAGTCTAAATACACACACCACCACTATTGTAAGCACCAGTCCCTTCCTGATGTTTGGTAGGAATCTCCTAACCTCTGAGCCATATCCCTCATGATTTATTTATGAATGTTCACTGGGGTTCTCTGGAAGGTCTAAAGTAAGAACTAGGATGAATAAAAAAGTGCTGATCCTTTTACGAGATTTGGTTGCAAAGTTAGGCTGAAAAGTTGAATCCTCCTGCTTCTGGCCTTGCTGTCTCAGCCTCTGGGGCCTTTATCAGACCCTGGAGAAGTCTGAATAATATCACCTCTAGTTTATTTTCAAGATTTTATTTTAATCTGGAAATGTTTCATAAACATGTCTTGCGATGTTCATTCTGACTACACATTTGCCACAGCCTCCACACACTCTGTCTGTGTTTTAATTTAGCAAAATTTTATTAAAGGTAGTAAAAGAAACAGGCTCTGCAGGGTGAGTTTGTGTGAAGTAACAGTAGGGAAAGAAGTACACCCAGCAGGGTGAGGGGGGGGGCCACCATGCAAAAGCAAACACAGGGGCCCACACTCTTCTCTTTACCTTGAACATCTTTTGCTTTAGTCCTAAGTCCCACGTAGTTTACAGGAGTTTTTCCAAACATAACTCTGATTGTCTTCATCCCCTCCTTCGAATCCATTAGACAACTTTTATTGTCTCCTAAATAGAGTCCAAGCTACTTAGAATAATAGATTACCCTAGAATAGGTTTCCCTTCCTTTTTATATCAGTTTTCATCCTATTTTATAATATATCACTAATTTTTCAGCAAGTCATATTACTCTTCTGTATTATAATACTTATTTTTTCTCAGTGATTTCCTGTGCATTTTTTGTGTTGTATTGGTTATCTAATCCAGTGGAACTGTTCCATTCAGCTACATGCCTAGCCCTTTTTAGTTTTTATTTAGAGACAGAGTCTTGTTAAACTTGTTTGTGATCCTTGTGTCCTGGCCTCCCCCATACCTGGAATTACAGGTGTGTGCACCATTCTTGGCTTGATGTCATTAGGTCTAAGCCTCTCTTTAACTGTTTCTTTTGACTTGTCCGGACCATTTTTCTTTTAGTAACAACTCAGAAGTTGAAGCTCTTTGTGAATCTCTAAGGCAAAAAAGTATTCATTCTTTGGTGTTTCAAGAATTTTCATACCACTTGACAACCTGACTATTTCTCATTCAGAAAAGTTTGAGTGAATTTTGAGTCATTGAGCTGTATTTTTTCAAGTTAAGAAACCATTTTATAGCAGTCCTTACATTAAGCTTTGATAAGCTTGCCTTGGACACATGGATGCTTATGAGGAGGGACACCTCCTTCTATCGTGTCTGGAATTCTGGACTCAGGCAGACTTGAATTTGGGAAAAGATCCCATGCCATTGATTTAAGGTTTCAGTACTGTTGTTCACTGTTTATCTTTTAGACACAAAACCCTCAAAGTTCTTGCCTGGAATCTTAGAACTTTTTACTTTAGACTTGATTCCAAGAAAGTGAAGCTGATACAGAATTAAGTTGTGATTCTGCTTTTCATATCTCTAAGGGGGCCGAAGGTGATAATATAGGGCTTTTAATTCCAGGTGAAATAAAGTGAAGGGTGGGGGTAAGGAAGATATGGAGATCTGAAATGGGGTCATGGAAGAAAATTCCTGAAAGAGGTTATAGGAAGAATCTGCTGAGGCAAGGGGCACCATAGCATCTGCCTAACATATTTATTTATTAATAAACATTTCTGAAAGAAAAGCTAGAAAGGTAAGGAAATGTGTCAGGGAGAGTAAGCCTAAGGATAAGATGAAATAAAAAGAACTCAACCATAGGGAACTTGTATTTACTGTACGCTCTCCTAACAATAAGTGCTAGTTCACTCCCTGACTGTAATGCATTTTTTACTTATTTCTGTCACTGAAGTTATAGGTCAGAGTAGCAGCGTAGATAAAGAATTTGAATGGATTAGTCTTCCTTGTTCTGGTGTTGCCCAGCACGCTTCTACTGTGTAACATACTATTAACTTATTTTATGATAAATATATTTAATATGATTTTTATGTACTAAGTACAAACTGAACTATTTAGCACAATATGCACAGTCCTGTACAAATTGGTCATGTAGCTACATGGCTTCATCCCCTACTATTCCTTCTTTAATCCCCTGCCACAACAATGTGTGCAAAGATATAACAAGTGGTAGAGGGACAAAGGTATGCAAGAAAGCAAACTTTTCCTCAAACATATTTACTTCTTCAAAATGGGAGATTGTGTGTTTTCTAGATTTTTATTTTACATATTCAATTTCTATTTGGCCTAAAAATTGCGTGTAGTTTTCAAGGTGAAATAAAAATTATATCTGGTGCGGAAGTTCCCCAAACTTCCTGGTCAACTTCTGTCAACTGCTGATTTGGTCTCCCTAATCATCTCTTGCACAGTGCTTTATTAACGGCCTGAGTTAGTCTACAGTCTAGCTGTGCCTTTTCCTGACATATGACTGTAAATTTATAGAGGTAAAGGATCATATTTTATACTTAGAAGTCTTCCATTCACATCATTGTTCCTTTACAAAGTAAATGCTGAACCTAGCTTGCAGCATAAATAAATTTGGGGTCTTTCCACTATCTTAGTATGGACTGGAGATTTTCAGAGTGTGCTGAGGCTAACTGGTTCCCAAGAAGCACCAGCAGTCTCTTTTATTTTACCCAGACACTACTACATTCAAATGTCATTAACCTTGGCCTCTCCTCCTCAGAATCCTGAGCATGGCCTCCCTGATGGGCTTGGACTTGATGCTATAGATGATGGGGTTTAGCACAGGCGGCACCACCAGATACACGTAGGCAACGAGAGCATGTACAAGGCGGGGCAGGTGCCTCCCAAAGCGGTGGATCATGGACACACCTATGACAGGGATGTAGAACACCAGCACAGCTAAGATATGAGAAACACAGGTATTGAGGGCATGGGCCCGCTCCTTGGGAGATGCCAGCCTCATCACTGTATGAAGGATAAGGGTGTAGGACAGGACAATAAGCAAGGAGTCTAGACCCACAGTGGACAGAACCACATACAACCCATACAGGATGTTGACAGTAATGTCAGCACAAGCCCGTTTCATGACATCTGCATGGAAACAGAATGAATGTGACAAGATGACCTTGCCTGGGCAATAGTTCAGTCTTTTCAGCAAGAAGGGTAATGGGAAGAGAGACAGAGAGGCTCGAGTTATAATGGCCATCCCAATCCTGACGATGACATTATCTGTGAGAACAGCTGCATAGCGCAGAGGGTTAGAGATGGCCACAAAGCGGTCAAATGCCATGGCCAGGAGCACAGAGGACTCCACCACCGAGAAGAAGTGCAAGAAGAACATCTGGACCAGGCAGGCATTGAAGCCGATGAAGGAGTAGTCAAACCAGAGCACAGACAGAGTGGTGGGCAGTGTGGACAGGGTGAGGCCCACATCGCTGAGGGCCAGCATGGACAGGAAGTAGTACATGGGCTGGTGCAGGCCAGGGGTCCTGCTCACAGCCAGCACGATGAGGCAGTTTCCAGTGAGCGCCACAGTGTACATGGAGGAGAAAGGGATGGATATCCAGCAGTGAAGAGCCTCCAGCCCTGGGATGCCGACCATGAGGAAAGCTGGTGGCTGGAAGAAGGAGATGTTTAGAGAGGACTGTGCAGGGACCATCCTTGGATGGCATCTGAAGGCTCTAGAGAATGTGGCCTCTTCAATCTGTACAGATACTGAGAAAATCTCAGGTGTCAAAAATGAACAAGTCAGTATTAGATCAGAAGTCTAAAATCAAGTGTCATAATTGATTCCATCATTTACTGATATGCATGAAAGATAATAATGAAAAAAATTAAACTTCTGCCTAGTCTGTTGTGTTCTATTTCAGTTAGTGTGCTAGTGCAATTGCCTATATTTTCTGACATTATAATAAAAACCATAATTCCCTTTTTGAATATCTGGCCCCCTTGAAACATGGGATTGGGGCCTTAGAGTTATGTCAATACTACACACATCATCTTGGCTTTCAAAAATTTATCATCTTTAAGGTTGAAATGTGGTGTGAATGGGTGGAATGAAATTCTTTATGTCAGTAAGGCGTAATTGAAATTGAGATATTCTAGTCAGTGTCTACTTTTTGCCCCAAATGAGGGTGCGTTATTTCCATGTGCAGAGGGGGAAGTGGAAAGTGCCTGTTTGGAAAGAAATGAAAATAATTGAATTAGGTGAACCGAGAAAAGCAAGGAAGTATGAGAGATCACATGCCTTACAAAAAGTGTCCAAGGGAGTAAGAAATTGCTGTTTTCCCCATACCTTTTATATAGTCAGTTATTCTTGAAGTCATCTGTTTCCCTAGGCCTTCCTATGATACAGTTTTGAATTTCATGATTTGTGGAATAAAAATTCCATGATTTATGTTCAAATATTTTGTGCTGGATTTCTCAACATTCAGAATTAGCAGAGACCTTGAACAGTGCCAGGTTTTCCCTTCCATTATACAGCCTGGGAAACTGAATATGAAGAATTGTAGCAGCCGACTTCTGGTGTGAGGCTCACGTATTATAGTCTTGGAATTTGAATCCGTCTTTGTCTGATGCCAGATCCTATACTCTTCCAGCAGCCTCTTCTGATGAGGCAAAGTATGTGAAAAGCTGTCTGAAGTGCAAAGCACCACACACATGATTTTTGTTGTTACTATATTCAGGGACTGAACACTGGGAGAGAGGGAACAGATGTAAGATATATTGGACAGTGAAAATGAATCATAAGAAAGTGCTCACTAGCCTTAACCTTCTGCATTTCATCCAATGTCAAGCTGTAATACTACATCTATCTATTGGGCATTCTCACTGGACTTTGAAATTAAGGTATGCATAGATGAAATATATGAAATTCCTTGTTGATATAATAAAAATCCATTTTTCAGAAATTTAGCCAAATTCCTCTTTTGCACCCAGTCACCCATAACTCAAGCATATATCAAAATCACCTAGATGTGAAGTGCATGATTTCCTGGGATCAGGCCTCATTTCCCCTCCTCTTACAACCAGCCACTGATCCTAGTATCTGAAGCCTAGGGGGACACATCTCATCTTTCACTTCACTGTCCTTCACATGTTTAAGGATTTGGTTATTCATTATATTATTTATTTATTCCAACAAGCAACTGTTGACCTAGAATTTACTTTATTCTGGGCACTGCACTATGCAAGAATTACATGTTAACAAACACAAACAGATGGCTGCTATATTCATGGATCTTACAGTATAAAGAGAAAGATAAAAAATATCAAGGAGAGAACTAATTGTAAGATGAAAACTGTATTCAGTGGTACACAGGAAGCTCAGAATGGTGGGTGAGGGTAACGCGTGGTGTGTGTTGCGCAGGGGACTTATTTGGTGAGGGCTGTATGAACAACAGATCTCTGAAAAGATGATGCTTAAGATCAAAACAATGAAGAGGCAGCCATGTTAAAAGCAAGGAAAGTGTGTAGACAGGGCACAAAAGCTGAAATCAGATTTGCATTGCTAAAGAGTCCTGTGCAAGGGCTAAGTTGGCATGCAACACCAGAGGAAAGTTAGGAGGTGCTGCTTTACAAGAGTGTGTAGGCTATATCAAACGGATGTTAGTCAAGGGCATAAGGAACCCACTGAAGGTTTTTAAGCAGAGGAGTGACTGAAACAAGTCAGTCTCTGGCTGGGGATATATCTGAGCATCACAGTGCTTGCCTGGCAAGTGCAGGGTCGTGAGTTCGAGTCCTAGTATAAGAAAAAGTCAATTTCCTGAACATCAGTTACACCATCCCTATAGCAGGGTAGTAATCCTTCAGGGTCTACATTTCAGAATAACTGTGAGGAAAATGAATCAAATAGAGTGAAAGAATTTGAGAAATACTGTGAAGTGTTGGACAATACTTGCTGATAATGTCCTCATGTCTCTTGTAGTTTCTTAGGGCAGCTGCTTGACTGTCATCCTTGCCCTCAATCTACATTCCCCCTCCCTTCCTCTCCCCAGCACTCCCTACAGGTTTCTCAAACTGTCTAATCATCTCCGTCTTCTTAAAGCACCACCTTTACAATTGGCTCACCCCAGCTCTACGCAATTTCACAATCACTTACACCTTCATCTAGATCTCAGTACTGGCATGTGCAAACCTGGAACAGCAACACCTGAAATCATTGCCTGTCTCTCGATTGTTGAAGTAACAATAACATACAGTGTGAGGCAGAATAAATTTCAGCTCTTAAAAAGATGTAGTTTATACACAGAAAAGAGGTTTCTGGATTTGGCAATATTATCACATCATTGTGTACACTGGGGATACATGGCATATACTGGGAATTTTGGTCATATTTTGATAAACAGTGAGTTCAATGGTGCTACTGTACTCTAAATAACTTTCCTATGCTGCGTACTACAGTATAACTAGTATACTGCCCCTCAGCTTTGACAAAACATTGTAAGGTGGGTCCAATCTTTTCCATTTCATACATATAGGGACATAGAGAAATCCACTGAATTGGTAGGACAATTCTTTCTTGATTCTGTTTGCTACAAAATGCCTTACTTTTTAGAAAATAAGGCACACAGTTTATCAAAGATTATGCAGGGTGTCAGGCTCATTTTCTCCCATTATTTGCAATTTCTTCTTCTGTAAAATCAGGGGCTTGAAATGGATCCCACAGTTTGAACTCTGACCTGTGGTGATTGCAAGAATGAACATTTCTAAAATACAGTTCTCTTTTATTTTCCCACTTCACTTTGCTCTGATTTAAAAAAAATAACCGAACTTCTTTTATTCAAATAAAACCACAAATCAGAATGTTATTCCTCTGTATATACTTGCTCAAAAGTTTTCTTGCTTTCAAATTCAAATATTTTTTTTTTTATTAATTCATGCATTTAAAGAAATTGCCTGGGTGTGGTGGTGCACACCTGTGATCCCAGCACTTGGGAGGCTGAGGCAGGAGGAGCGTTGGGAGTTCGAGATCAGCCTGGGCTACATAGTGAGTTCAAGGCCAGCCCTGAACTACATAGAGAGATCCTGTCTCAAAAAGAAAAAAAAATTAAAAAAAGAAATAAAAGAAAAAAGAAACCTCACACATCCACTTATACAAAAATTTCGGATTTTTCCTTTGCATTAACTAGTTTAGGTTTAAAGCTACTTCTGGTTTCTGTCTTTTTTCTTTCTCTCTTCTTTTGGGAGTGAGGAGGATGAGCCATTCAGAACTCTAGAAATAGAGGTTTGAGTGTGGGCCCTCATTACTCACCCAGGCTTCTGCTCTGGGCTGCCCGGTTGTGCCACATCCTGTAGAAGCCCAGAAATCCCCTATGCTAAAGTGGGTCTTCTTTATTCTGCTGCAAGAAAATGCAGCCAATCTCCAGGGACAATTGGCTTTGACTCACAAAGACATCTCTCTGCTCAGGTTTACCCCTGGGGTGTGGACGTGGATGAGGTGACCTGAGGGAACAGTGAGGAGAAAGTAAACTTCAGCGAGGTTCTATCCTAATGACATGAACATTCAGGACGCTAGCCCAGCCTTCTCTAAGGCATATTTTCTACAAGCTTGGGTGTTGCAGTGGCCCATTTTCATTTCATCCCCTCACTTTTAGAAAGTGTATCTTTCTATTTATTGAAAGGAGGCAGAGTTAGATGATTCTGGAGTCCAACTTCTGGGAACTAATAGTGAGGTTAAAGATTCACTAGGTCCTGAGAACTGAAGTAATGGCTCCGTTACAGGAGGGAAGACAGTATGCACTGGAAGGGCTTATAAAAAAACTGAAGAAATAGAATCTTTGAAGAGGAACAGGGAGAGCGCAGATCAAGGTGTTAGAAATCAGGAAGCAGCAAATATTCTGACTGCCTCAGTAATATGAAAGTTTGATTAACTCCTCAAAAATTCAACAGGCTATGACATTAGTGAAGGTTTCACAGATTTAGCAGCTTTATTCGGTCAGCACACTTCTCCTCAGGAAGGGCAAGTTATTTTACCTGAGAACTCCTACTGTCAAGAAAGAGGCTCAGCACTTGCTAGTCTTTGGATTTCAGAGAGAGCACATAACACACTTAGAAGTCATTCTTTGACCCCACCATCAGAGTACCTGATTGGCTGCCAGGCTTCAGTGGGCCTAGAAAAAGACAGGGATAGGCAGCCAGTTCTGTCTGTGGTGAAAGCACTTTAGATGTGTGTGTCAAATTACCTGGTAAAGCCATGACATCAGTTGTATCTGCAGTGGATAAGCACACTGTATGGAGTGTTTATCAAGTCCTAAGATGGCACATACTAGTTATGAACACAAGTAGGATAAAGGCCTCCTGGACATGAAAGTGGTTGCAAATTCATCATCATGAGAACACAAAAAAAAGATAGTAAATGTTATTTAAGAGGACAAGGATTCTTTTAGCATCCTGTTTACCCTTCAGATTGGAGCATGGCTCATGCAGGCAGAATACGCTTGCATTCAAATGGAGATCCAGTTTCCTCGGCACAGAATGGAAATGTTGTGCTTGTGTGAGCCTGGCCTTCTGCTCTGTCCTCTGCCTTACAACTGCACTCTCCTCTCTAGTCATACCTGACCACTTGCTTTCCCATGCGAGTAGCCTCGTCTCTCAATTTGCAATGTCCGCTCCTACTGCTGTTTCTCTACTTCCCCATAACAGCCCCATCTATCACTT